TCAGATCATAAAGTGATATAAAAATTAAACCGAATTGAAAGTCAAAGAACATATGAAAGATACAGTATGTTTAAACGAAATATACATATAGATATAGTTCAAGAGTATAGCGTGCTAATTCATTTTTATTATTCTGAACTATATATTATAGCATAAAAAAATCTGAAACACTGCTGAATCAGTACATCACCTTAAAACCTCTTATAGTATGTTTAAAATCTGTATTAAAAACAATTACACTAGTTTGAGTGCGTGAAGACACGCGAATATATGTAATTGATTGGATATAGTCAAAATTATTAGCCCCCATTTGATTTATTTATTTATTTATTTTATATTTCCCAAATTATGTTTAAAAGAGCAAGGAAATTTTCACAGAATGTTTGATAATATTTTTTTCTTCTGGAGAAAGTCTTTTTTATTTTGGCTAGAATAAAAGCAGTTTTTAATTTTTTTTAAGGTCAAACATATTAGCCCCTTTATATTTTTTCCATAGTCTACAGAACTATTAATAATTTTCACAATAACCTGCCTAATTACCCTAGTTAAACTAACTAACCCAGTTAAGCCTTTGAATGTCACTTTAAGCTGTATAGAAGTGTCTTGAAAAATATCTAGTCAAATATTATTCACTGTTATCATGGCAAACTTAAAATAAATCAGTTCCTGATAACTTTGTTGGGATGTTTCTATATTTTTATATTATCATCATTAACATATTTCTACTTGAAAAACAAAACAAAAGGGAATTTTACTTTCAGAATCCTGCAATTTCTTTGGAAATGATAAGATAATAAGATGTAGTTATGGAGGTGAATGGCTTTCCCATGTGGCTGCTGTATGCTTTCAGAAAGCTCAGTGAAAGTGCAGAATACAGTACAGTATCTCACATCCGCAGAAGTCCCACATTGGTTTGCTGCTTTTATTTGTCTGTCCACCCTTTAATGTCCTGCCTCCAATCCCTCTGTCCTCTCTCCCCTTCCCCCTCATTAGGTTCCAAAAGATATGATTATCTCCACAGCTCAGATATAATCTGTCCTGAATCACCACTGACAGCTGCAGAGAGAGAGAGAGAGAGAGAGAGAGAGAAAGAGAGAGAGAGAGAGAGAGAGAGAGAGAGAGAGAGAGAGAAGGGGAGGAGAAAACAGTGAGAGAGCAGTTTTAGGAGTAGCTTCAAAACAACATGATAGAACTGAAGAGCTCAACATTACACTCAAGGATGACCAATTCTCTCTTTCTCTGTTGTGGACTGATCTGGATCCTGGAACTCACATATTCTTCCAGCTGTTTGTTTCCGTATGTTGTTCACAAATGTGTTTTTCTGCGGTATTAATTGTTTGTACGGTACTTGATTTACAACTTTTTTTTAAACATTTTCTGATTCTTGCCAATTTTTATAGGTAAAACTACACTTAAAAAGGTCACACTATAAAGTTTCATTAGTTAATGTTTGTTAATGTATTTACTTACATCTGCTCACAACGAACAATACTCATACAGCATTTAATAATCACATTATTAATAATTAATAATCATACACTAAACAACTTTGCTGTTTGTTTTTGCTGGCAAATTAATTGATTTATGTTTAATCCACTTAAATTTGTGTTAGTTAATTTAGTTAAGTTAATTCTTTCATGTTGTGCCAGCACAAGTTGATTGTGTGGAACCCAGCAATTTTAGATGAATAGAAAGATAAATAGATGCTGTAATAAATGTGTTGTTCACTGTTTGTTCATGTTAGTTAATGCATTAAATAATACAACCATATTGTAAAGTAAATTTTTTATTTTTTAAGACTTGACATAGAAGAATTATTTTTGGTTGCACAAATAACCTTTTGGTCACCGTTATTTAAATAATCTCATATGTGAAGAACATTCAAGGTAAAAAAAAAAAGAAGCTTTTTTTCCACTAAAAAGAACTTAAATAGTTTCTTTGAATGTTATATTTTTTTTAGCTGAACTATCAATGCCAAAACAGAAGCTTTGTTTTCAACACTATATCAATATTCCTAAAAATGATAACCATAAGTTGTTGCTTAAACATTGTTTTGAAAATTGTTTCAGTTCTTACTTTTTGCATCGAAGTTGTAGATTATCTTGTAGAAAAAAAGATAAGACTGTGAAAGCCTAAAATCTTAAAGGCATAGTGCACCCCAAAAAATAAGGATTTGAACAAGTGAAGGATGATTAAATGATTCCATTTCTCTTCCATTTTGGGGTGCACTATTCCTCAAGTATATACTTTTTCAGCTATACCTTATTTATAGAGAGATTATTTGCTTTTATGACGTTGCTGTGGAAAACCTTTTTGCTGACATCACTGCATGTGTTGTTGTTTTTATCTATGTTATTGCATTGTATAGTTTTACTTATGTCATAATATTTCTTTTTTGTTTGCTTCAATTAGGCAAGGCAAGTTTATTTATATATCACATTTCATACACAGGGGCAATTCAAAGTGCTTTTACAATAGGAACAAATAAGACAAGTATAAGAAAATAAAAACAAATAATAAAAATGATTAAGATTAAAATGTGCTAAAACAGGTTATAAAAGAATGAAGAAAAAATAGAAAAACATAACAGACAAAGCTGTCAGATGTAGTGCTCATTCAGTAAAGGCGCAGCTAAACAGATGTGTTTTCAGTCTTGATTTGAACGTGCCTAATGTTGGAGCACATCTGAGGAGGCCATTACGGTAATTCACCCTGCTGCTGATAAAAGCATGAACATGTTTCTCTGGAAACAAAGCATCTAATTCTTGCAATGTTTTGACATGATAGTATGCTGATTTATTAACTGCTTTGACATGACTACTGAAACTCAGATCTGACTCCAGAGTCACATTAAAATTCTTGAACCTATTTTTTGTTGTTTGACGTTTAGAGCCAAGGTACGCATTTACCTTGAGAACCTCATCTTTGTTCCCAAATGTAATCACTTCAGTTTTCTCTTTGTTTAATTGAAGAAAGTTTTGGTACATCCAATTAGTCAGAAACACAGCACCAGAAGATCTTGAATGTGCTGCAACTTAAGAAAACACAGGCATATAGAAAAACACTAACAAACACACTAAACACCAGACATGCACGCAAATTCTCACAACACATGGAAATACACACTGCAAATATTGCAGATAGAAATGTGTTGGGGGACTACAAAAAATGATGCACCCGACTGCTCCCTGTTTATTCAGTGGTTCATTTAACATCAATTATGCAATTCTTCAGATTATTAGTGGTAAAATATACAAACAATAAGGATCTGAATGACCAGGGCTGCGTTTCCCAAAAGCATCGTAAGCCTAAGAAGTTCGTAGAAATGATCGTACGACTGATCTTAATATTACGGTCTGTTTCCCAAAAGCATCGTAACTTAAGTAGCACTTGAAAATCTTAGTGGATCTACGAGTGCTCTGGAGTAATCGTAAAGCCTTAAGTGCATCGTAAGGAGACAGAGTTATGAGGGCACCTGCTGGACAACCGGCAAATTGCACCTACAATTTACTTCTCTTCAAAGTCATTATTCATTTTATTTGTACGTATATCTCTATTCATTTATATTTTCTACACATTACACAATTCAATATACAAATAATAATGAATAAAGAAAAAAATAAAAATTACATAATAAATGTTAGAATGAAAAAAAAAATTACACTGTTGTATATGGACATTTCGAGGGTAGTAGGCTATATTTTTGTCCTATTAGCAAATGCACATCAGGTGGGGATAATTAGGCTAAACTTTTCAAAAATAAATGTAAGAGCTTATTTATTTATTTATTTATTTACTTATTTATTTATTTTGATGTGAGATAAGCAATTTTTGATAAAGAAATTGATAAATAATTCTACTTAATTAAGGTTTCATATAAATATCGAAAATGATGCTGATGTCATTTCCGGCAAGGACTGTTAGAATTAGTTTTATGCGAGATTGGAGCAAGACAGTGTTTTTACAGTACGACATTTCCAGTTAATTTATGTTTTTAAACTGGCTCAAAAATATTTTTTTTTATGTTATTCGAGTTGAATATACATTCACACAAGTAGAAGAAGAATTATATGGATTGCTATAACATGTGCAACAATAACGAGCCATTCTATAGCGTGACATTTCAGCACTTAACAAACGGATAGCGACTCCTAAGTTGCACTTAAAGCTGGGCTACGTGCAATTGTGTTAAGTGCATTTTTGGGAAACGCACGTGAAACAATAACGAACGTTCGCAAAATGACTCGTAGAAAACGCTCTTAAGTGCTAAGATCAATCGTTATCGGGAAACGCAGCCCAGGATGTTGAAATAAACCAAAAACACACCTCTCTGAACTCCGAAAACAATGTTGACTGTAAACAGGAAGCAGTCAGGTACGTCCCTTTTGGGGTCCCCCGACACATTTCTGTTATGGTCTGTGCTATTTGCAGTGCATTTCTGTATTTGCATGTGTTGTGAGAATTTTTATGTTTGTGTTTTGCTAAAAATGTGTAAAGTAAGTTGTAACATTTTTTTTAATCCATATGTTTTCTCAGAGGCATATATGGGCTCTCCTAGCCACCTTACAGAAGGCTATTTTGCATGTGCAGTCCTAAAATCAACACCTAAAACCAAATTCTGAATATCCTAATCATCTCCCTCAAACACTTCCCGATGTCAGACAAAATGACTAATATATCACTAATCTGTAATGTCAGTATGCAGGCGGTATGTTGCTGAGCACTGCGTGTCATTTGTGTGTTTCAGTCGTTTCGAGAGGAGCTGGATGTGTTGATTCAGGAGCAGATGAAGAAAGGAGGCAGCTCCTCCAACCTGTGGGCTCTCAGACAGATCGCAGACTTCATGGCCACTCATGGGTCTCCAGCCGCTCTTCCCGTCACTCCATCCAGTACGAAACATCATTACATCTGCTCGTTTTTGATTAGTGCCTACATTACATTTTACACAAATAAAGCACATCTTTTATAGTGAATATGGTGTATTGAGCATTAGTGAATGTCATTCATTATGTTGTCAAAGTCCATGTGAAATCAAAAATTGCAATGTTAATTTTGCTAGTGTACATGGTTATTCTTTAGATTAACAATTAATCCATGTAAGTTTATCTACTGAAAAAAAGTTAGGTTTTTGGTAATCTTCAATCAAAGGCTGAACGTTTACTTCTACATTTAGAGAAGCGGTCCTTCCTTGTGGTTGACAGTTTCAACCACAATATTCTTAACCACGCCCCTCTAACCATTTGTTTGCTGTAAAGGAATGATGCGCAAAAAAAAAGATTCCCCCGTACTTAATATGCAGTTTCAGTTGGAAGTACATAAACATGCTGAAATAAAAGCCTTAGCAACTTCCGATTCATGCATACTTTAATATATAATTTAAAAATATTTGGAATTTTCCTAAAAAAAAAACATCGTACAATCATTCTAAGTTTACATCCCAGATTTATTCGACTGCAGAATAAAAAGGATGTAACCTCATCTTTTAAAATAAAATGTTATTAAATGTTTCACACATCTTTTCTTACCATTTCAAGCTTATATCTTTTTATAAGCTGACTCTCAGCTCTAACAGTTCACAGGTTCACAATTTTACTCAATTGTGCTTTTAATTGTACGATTAAAAAGGAGGAAACGCCTTGTTTTAACCTGTATAGCGGAAATAAGCTTCCTTTTCGGTAAACCAGTACTAATTCCCATATCACTATTCTTTCATTTAGATGCATTAAATTTACAGTTCACCCAAAAATGAACATTTCCTCATAATTTACTCACACTCCGTTGTAAAATATTCCCAGTATTCATTAAAATATCTACATTTATTTTAATGAATACTGGGAATATTTTACTACTAGGAAAAGTACTCTGCTGTACCCTAAACAGACAGTCTTAAACAAGCTTAAGCTGTAGTAAAGGATGAGTAAATAATAGCTGAATTTTTATTTTGCATGAACTATGCCATTAATGTAGTTTTAAGCTTGAATGTGAGCTATATGCCCAGCTAGTGCTTTTCAGCCAATGATGAACTTCCAGTGAGAGCTGTAAGTGACTATTTTCAATTTCATAAGGTTGTTTTAACAGCATTGATGTTGTATTGTAATTTACATACTCTTAAATAGACTTAAGCCTCCATTTTGTTGTTAAGTGTGGTTTATTCATAAACTAATTTCGAGAGGATCACGTGCTTATGATCAACACGGCTGGCTCCTTATTAGCTACGTAATCTGCCCTATTAGATGATTACGGAAGCAATATAAATAATCTAAGTTTTTCACTCCAGTTATCTTCATCTTGAAGCCCCAACCCCCCCCCCCCATTTATTTTTTTCCACCCCTACGTCCTTCCCCTTTTCTGATAGGGCGACATGGTGGCCCAGTGGCTAGCACTGTTGCCTCACAGCAAGAACACCGCTGGTCCAACCTATCGGGCCGGTTGGTGTTTCTGTGCGGAGTTTACATGTTCTCCCCGTGTTCACGTGGGTTTCCCCCAGGTTCCCCGGTTTCCTCCCACCATCCAAAAACATAAACCATAGCCAATCGACTTAAACAAATGATCACCCAATACAACCTTAGTTTACACTTCTCACGGCGACAAGCAGGGGAGTTCTCGAGACCTACCTGAGCTCGAACTCCCCTCTCGTCCTTCTAACAGGAGGGAGCCCCGGGCTCGAGGATTTTATGAGCTCAGGGCTCTCTCCCGGGACAGCATGCCAAATACGCTTTGATTATCAGCTAAGTGTGAACTCTTGAAAGCGTAAAAAGAGACTACATACCGTTTAAACATGGGCGCAGTTATTAGCACCAGGCTAGCGCAGAAATTCCATTGAAAACACTGCGGTAAAATTCATTTCCATATTTTAAAGACATGGCTTGGAAAAATATAATTTAATGCAGTGCTTCTTGTTTGGTTTGATACCCACTTTATATTGTATCTCAGTGATGCAGTGAAGATCACTATTTATTAAAGAAATCAGATCCTAAATGCAGTGATTTTTTATGAGATGACAATTAACCGGAAGCTGTGGGGCTGGCTGACTGAAATTAAAAATCCATGTCCATATACCCCATTCAAATGAATTGGATTGTGCTTTTCAGATTTACTTGAACTGTTAGTCACATTTCGAATGTCTTTCATGGTGTCTGTTGCACTCTTTAACAAGCGCAGCTCTTTTTACATGCAGTCCTTCATGACTGAGATGTTCACTGACACACACGTGTGTTTCTGTGCTCTGTCGTTCCTCAGCAGCCGTCACCATCGTAACCCCCATCAATGATCTGCACGGATGGGAGCCGAGCTCTATGGTGAAGGGGGAGAGACTGATGCGCTGTAAGCTGGCCAGTGTTCACCGCCTGCTGGATCTGTACGGATGGGCTCAACTGGCGAACACATGCCTCACAGTAAGAAAACACAATCCTGCAGTAAAATCCAATGAAATCAAATTGAGTTTTTTTGAATGTCAGTATTAATATGTCAGTCTTAAAGTATTAGTTCACCCACAAATGTAATTCTGTTCTTAATTACCCACCCTCATCCTCATCGGGCATGTCAAAAAAAAACATGTCAATAATGCTAATTAATTTGATGTCAAAACCTTGACATACATTTCACATACACACATTGATGCCCCTTTGACTACTAAATTAGCAACACATAAAAGAAAAGAAAAATAAGATAATAAATAAAAATATTTACAGTATAAGAAAAGTTTTATTCATCTGAAAGCCTCAATTCCAAATCTACACTGGATTATGTATCCCTACACTTTAAACTACCTCGAAATCCAATTGAGATCGAACATTGACATCAAAAAATATGCTACAAAATCTATTACAGGACAATGCTAGATGTTAATTTGTTGTCTGCTTCACATCAACATAGACAACTGACATCAAGTTTTAAAATAAAGGTGCTTGCATTCCAATTCCATGATATTTTAGATTAAACCTGAGAGCTCTCTCGTCTTCAATAGACAGAAAATAAACCAAAGACATTGTCAGAACATATTGTGGAATTCAGTGGTTCAGCTGTAATCATACAAAGCTCCAAGAACACATTCATTTATTAATTTTCGTTTGGCTTAGTCCCTTTATTCAGCAGGGGTCGCTACCTTTCCAGTTGTAACCTAGTACTGGGAAACACCTATACACACTCATTCACACACATACACTATGGCCAATTTAGTTTATTCAATTCACCTAGTGCAGGTCTTTTTACTGTGGTGGACACCGGAGTACCCACACAAACATGGGGAGAACATGCAAACTCCACACAGAAATGCTAACTGACCCACTCTCCAAGAACACGCATTGGTTCCCACTGTAAGCTACATAAAAGTCAGGGAGTTTTTTATGGGGTGGGGGTTGGGGGGGGGAGGCTACTTGATGTCCTGCCATGTGTTCATGTTTCAATTGAAAATACGTTGCTCGATGAACAAAGCTCCACATTTAAACGCACTTCAGGGATCTTCACACCTTCTGTCAACGTGCCAAGACTGCCTCATGCTTTTAAGAGCTTGATTGATTAAATGGGCTGTCTTTAACAATAAATATCATTTAAGATAAATCAGACTCCAGATTTTCTGCTTAAGAAAAAATGTCTTATGTTCAATGTCAGGAACAGCAGTGCTGCTAAATATTTTTGTGCTTACAGTTTTGTGGTTTCATATATTTTTTCCTCCATGTAAGACAAGATGCTGCAGGTAGGTAGGAAAAAAACAACAAATCGTTCTCACATACAGTACAACCCCACTTAATTACATTGAGAATGGCAGACATTTTATTGTCAAAATATGCAAATGAGCCATTATCGTGTTAAATTTGTTAATTTGCATACATTTCTAGCAAAAAAAAAAAAATATCTGAACATTAATAAATTCAGATTTAATTTTAATTAAATTTTTTTTATTATTTTGTTGGGAGGGGGGGGGGCAATAGAGTCAAAGGTTTTTACAAAGACTGTGTGATTTTAAAATACTGCGTAAATACGGAATATATTTCCAAATGCTTTTTGAAAATTAAAAAGTTGTATATATTCATCATATATTGTTATTATATATTGTTTACACATATGCATGCTAGGTTCAGAATGCTTGGACAGACTTTGATCAATTGTCTTTTGCTGCTGTTTTGCTACAGCAAAAAACAAAACAAAACACTTGATTCTACTTGGAAGATCTAATTTTAGACAATTATATATATATATATATATATATATATATATATATTTCCCAAATGAGCAAGGAAATTTTCACAGTATGTCTGATAATATTTTTTCTTCTGGAGAAAGACTTATTTGTTTTATTTCGGCTAAAATAAAGTTTTTATTAAAAAAAAAAACATTTTAAGGTCAATATTATTAGCCCCTTTAAGCGATATATATATATTTTTTCGCTAGTCTACAGAACAAACCATCATTTTACAATAATTTGCCTAATTACCCTATCCTGCAGCCTTTAAATGTCACTTTTAGCTATATGGAAGAGTCTTAAAAAATATCTAGTCAAATATTATGTACTGTAATCATGACAAAGATAAAATAAATCAGTGAAATGAGTTATTAAAACTATTATGTTTAGAAATGCGTTTAAAAATCTTCTCAGAAATTGGGGGAAATACAGTATAAACAGAGGGGTTAAAAATTCAGGGGGGCTAATAATTCTGACTCCAACTGTATCTCTGCGTAAAAAACATAAAAAAAGTTTTATGTTATGCTTATTGTTTTATGTTAGAGCTGCTGTTGAGATTTGTGGCTTAAAACAGGAGAAAAAAAATTGTGGAAAAAAATTGCCAAATTCATGTTTGGCACAATTTGTTGCTATTTTCAGACCAGTGCACCAGTAATTTTCATGTTTTGTGGCATGTTGCTATTTTGAGGAACTGAAATAGACTGTGCAATTGACCATGTGCCTATGCAGCTTTAAATGCTTACACACAGGATGCACGTCAATATACAAATATCTTCAAAAATGAAAAAAAAAAGATAAAAGGGTTAAAATGTTACAAAATGATTATTTTCTACCTAAATATAAAAACCACAGCCTTCATGCCTTCTATATGTCAGGGTGGCTTTTTCAGTTTATTCATGACAATTTGCATTTATAAAATGTTAGTATTATTAGCAGTATTATTTATTATATGCAAATTTATATTTGTTTTTAAAAAAACAAGATTACGTAGATTTGGGTATAACTCACACTTCCACACTTTGTTATTATTGTTCATTTATTTGTTTGGTTGTTGGAAATTAGAGATGAATTTAGAAATAGTTTTGAAACAAATCTTTTTGCTTAACAAACGAAATTCAATATGTAGGCTAATGGTTGTCTTCAGTGGAGTGCATACAACACTGTTTTCATATCCACGAAAGTAAAGGAGTAAAGTAAAGAGTAAAAGTAAAGTAAAGAGGCCGAATGGTCGAGGCTCATTCTTTATCCTCGCGCTGCAGATGGTCTGTTTAATAATTTTTTCGCTAGTGAAGCATTCAGTTTTTCTACTTACAAAGTCCACCATGTAAATAGCAAATGCACCATGGTGTTATGCAACTGACAACACTGTTAGACCATGAGCCGCGTCGCAGAGCCTATTTTTCCATCCTTAAAATAGCAAAAGTGGATTCGGACACACTCTTAATGCTTTTGCATCATGTGCTTTAGACTTTGCACCTAGATCTTTAAAATAGTGCCCATTACAATGTTGGAATACCAAGCCAATTCCATGCGTGTTCAATAAGAAAAGGTCTAGAGAGTGTTTTCTTCAATGCCAAAAATATTAGTAATTTATTAGATACAAGTGAATAATTCAATGACAGAGTTTTGTGTTACGTTACCCCAATGCAATACAAGAATTACATTCAGGAGGTTCGCAACTAACTTACAATTCCTGACTCCAGCATATATACACAACTGATAATAACAGGTGGAGTTTTGGTTTAACGTCACTGATCAGTCATTCTGCAGTCCCTTGGCTCTTTGTAACCCCTAGACATACTTCCTCTTTCTGCACCTCTTCTCTGCATACCAGAACTGAACAATTACCTGCGTCTTTAATATATTTTATAACTTCTACAAAGATCATGCTCCTTGTGACATGTCCAGACAGCAGTCTGGAACAAACCTAAGTTTATTCTTATTCTGCTTTTTCCACTAGTCAGCAGTTCTTCTAAAAAGTATGCAGCACAGTAAAAAAAAGAGGAAGTGTGTCTGGTCTAGATGTGTTATAATAAAATAGAAAAGATTGATTAATCTGTTGTTAGTCTAAACATTTTTGTAATAAGAAATTAAGACACAAAAGTAATAAAAATAAATTCCTTTTTTCCTACAATATAAAGCCAAAAAAAGACCGAAAGCTCAGCATTGACGGGTGCATAAATCTGCATTGTCCTAACCTAAAACAATATTGCCATCAAAAAATTCTTATAAAAAGCTAAACATATTTAGTAAGACATTGCTTAAATTATTAGTAAGGTATGATTACATTACATCAGAGATTTCCTTTGTGAGTGATTTGTTCTTTTTTACCTCAGTTTGCTGTAGGCATTGTTGTTATATATCATACTGTAGGTCTCAAACTGGATTTCTGGAGGGCCGCAGCTCTGCACAGTTTTGCTCCAACCCTAATCAAACACAGCTGATCCGCCTAAGCAAGGTGTTCAAGACTACTAGAGACTATTAAGAAGATGTGAGTTGGAGCTAAACTGTTCAGAGCTGCGCCTCTCCAGGAATTGAGTTTGAGACCACTGTTATATACACTATGTACTATGTACTGTGAGTTGCTGTTGATACAAGAGTGTTTTTCTCTGTGCAGATGCGTGTCAGTAAAGAACAGGAACATTTCCTGGTGCTGCCAGACGGTCTGGCCTACGGGGAGGTGACGGCCTCCAGTCTGGTGAGACTCTGTCCATATGCAGTTTTACAATTAAAATATTTGTGTATACAATGAGGACATCCCCACTGAGATCTTTTTGGGGAATTTGTCAGTTTTTGCTCACTTTTGAGTACAAATTGGTCCCCAGAAAATGTTATATATAAATAGGTTTAAATATAAAAGTGGGTACACACGCACAAACACACAAAGACACACACACACACAACATGCATATAGGCATAACTTACAACTGAATCTACTGTTACAGAATTTCACCTACACACATGCACAAACACACAAAGAGAGACACACACAGACACACACACACACACAGAGAAACACTCATATAAACATCCCCCCCACACACACACACACAGATATGCATAAACACCCACATAGAGACACACACATACAGACATGCACAGACAAGACAGACTTGCGCTCACACACTGAGAGACACCACTGACATGCACACACACACACACCACACACAGACATGCACACACATTTACTCAGAGACATAAACACAAACATATACAAACACGCACGCATGCACACACATACACATTCGCACAGAGACACACATTTGCACACAGGCATATACATAGACACAGACACACACACATTCCACACAAACACACACACTACACCACAGATACACACACATTCACATACAGACATACACATACAGAGACAAGCTCGCGCACACGCACACGCAGACATGCACACACCACACATACAGACACGCACGCACAATCCACACACACACAAATAGATACACACACATTTGCATACAGACACACAGACAAGCATACACACACAAACACACACACATCGATTACTCCTGTGTCCTGCAAGATGGCTTCTGATGACTTTGTTTCATTGTGAATATGAATTGAGATCAAGGTCACTAAAGCAGTGCATCACTGTTTGAGAATGTGAATTATTTCCTGATAAAGCTAAAAGCCTCAGCGTGTTCAGCACATATTGTATGCATTGTTGCAAAACTAAGACACTAAGACAAATTGTTGCACATGAAAAGAATTCTCGAGTGCACACACAACTGTATCAAAACTTGTGACTTGTAATGTGACGTTTGGGGCGTGCAGTGGCATGTCTGCCTGTTTGTGTGTATGTCTGTTTGTGAATGTGTGTACACTACCTGACTATTCTTGTCGTGGATCCCAGTTGTAAAAGCAACACATAATAACTTGACTTCTAGTTGGAAAAGTGTCAGAAGAAGGTAGATTTTTCAGATGAATCATCTGTTAAACTGCACACCAATCATCACAAATACTGCAGAAGACCTATTTGAACCCACATGGACCCAAGATTCTCATAGAAATCAGTCAAGTTTGATGAAGGAAAAAACATGGTTTGGTATTACATTCATTTACTATGGGGGTGTGCGAGAGATCTGCAGAGTGGATGGCAACAACAACAGCCTAAGGAATCAAGACATCTATGCTGCCCATTACATTACAAACCACAGGAGAGGCAAAATTCTTCAGGAGGATAGCGCTCCTTCTCATACTTCAGCCTCCACATCAAAGCTCCTGAAAGCAAAGAAGGTCTAAAATTGGCCAGCCCAGTCACCAGACATGAACATTATTGAGCATGTCTAGGGTAAAATGTAGGAGGAGGCATTGAAGATGAATCCAAAGAATCTTAATGGGAGTCCTGCAAGAACGTTTGCTTTTCCATTCCAGATGACTTTATTAATAAGTGATTTGAGTCATTGCAGAGATGTATGGATGTAGTCCTCCAAACTCATGGGAGTCATATACAACATTAATTCTTTTTCCACTGCAGCATGACTTTATATTCTATACTGTATATTATGTCTGTTAAGTGACAATACTTTTGTCTAAGCAAAGTCAGACCTTACTGTCCTAATTAAATTATAAAAAAAAATCAATGCATGATTATATTTGATTTTGGTAAAATAAGCGTAATCTAGAGGCCTTTGCCTTCCATATAAGCCGATTCTGATATCAAATTATCAACTACAACTCAAGTTATTATTTGTTGTTCCTAAAACTTGGATAGGCTACAAGACTTTTGTCAGGTAGTTTGTGTGTCTATGTGTATATATGTGCACATCTGTGGAGTTTCGACAATCTAATAAGAGTACTGTGAACTTACCTCATTTAAGTTGAAGTAATGAGGTATTTAATTATCTCATTACCTTCAACACTGAGTTCAAAACTCTTTTCAAATGAGTAGAAGTAACTTTCAGTACATATTGAGTTAACTACACTCATTTCATTTGATAAAGTTGACTGTTGGGTTTTATAGTGTACTGTTGGTGTGGCTTCTTTCTTTACTAACTGCATCTCTGTTTAATGTTTATCATCTTTTTTTCCTGATATTTATTTTGTGTTGTCAATTGTCACTTTATGTACACTGGAAGCTTCTGTAGCCAAAACAAATTCCTTGTGTGTGTGAAGCACGCTTGGCAATAAAACTGATACTGATTCAGGAACAGGATTGGGAAACAATGATTTAGGTGACAAAAATAACTGTGCGAGTCAATCCAATGAAAAAATGGTCTTGGTAATCTTCAATCAAAGTCTGTGAGAAAAAAGGTGATGCGGGGTGACAACAGAGTAAGGATCCACATGCAGTTTTGTTTATAATTGTCAAGCAGGCAATGGTCAACAGGTACAAACAGTATCATTAGGGCAATCCAGAAGAGTAGTCGAGGTCACAGACAATAGGGTCGAATGCAGGTGGCAAACAACGTAAACAAGAAAATGGGGCAAGGGTCAAGAAACACAAACTAAACACGGAGGACGCTTAATGTAATACTACAAGTAAATGACAACAACAAGACTCAGCAATGTATGTGGGAATGTGAGCAGCAGGGCATGCAAAATCTGGTACCACAAAGTCCCAAGAGGGGTCTGGATGCAGACATGGTGCAGTGCAATCTGAGCTGCATCCAATGCTTTTTAATGCACTCACCTAACCCCACCTGTAACACTACCCTTCACAGTGACTTCACTCACTCCATTGAGTGCATTGTGTCTGACATTGCATCGCTGAGTGATGCAATCTCAGCTTGCATATTAAAGGCTGCATCCAGATACTAATGGAAGTCCCTGGGCTATTGTTTTCTTCAGTCGGACTACCAAAATCTATCCAAACATTGCATGGCGGGCTATCTAGATAACCCGCCATGCACGGTGTAGATATATTTTGGTAGCCCAACTGAAAAAACAATAGCCCCAGAACTTCTGGCTGCCAGATTTTGTGAGCCCTGAGCAGCATATTTAGTGTGTGTAATCAGTCTTGATGAGCTTTCAACTGTGTGTGTGAAATCATCTGTGATCCAAAACAGGTGTGTGTGAGGTGCATTACAGGAGTTGTAGTTCATATCAGTGGCAGACTTGTAGTTCTGGTGATAATGAATGTTCTCCCAAAGCTTATCACTGGTGATCGTGACAGTCTGACAGTTTGCCTCTGGGTTTGGAGTGGCGGTCCTTTTTTGTTGACGTTAGTTTGATGACATCAACCACAATATTATTAGCCGCGCCCCTGTTAGTTTGCTACAAGGAAATGATGCTCAAATAGAAAGCTCCACCCCCTACTCAATATTCAGTTTGTTATAAGTGCATCAATGAAATAAAAGTGTCTGCAACTTCCAATTCACACAGACTTTAAATGAATATTGCAAACAGATCTGCTCTCTGAAAAGATTATAGTGTTTTCTTAAGTTGTTTTTGATGTGTTGGAGTGAAAGTTTTGCTTTCTGCTCTGTGCAGGTGAAGGTGAATATTCTGGGTGAGGTGGTGGAGAAGGGTAGCACTGCTCTCGCAGTGGATCTGTCTTCGTTCAGTCTTCATTCTGCCATCTATTCTGCCCGACCGGACGTCCGGTGTCTGCTGCACCTCCACACTCCAGCCACAGCCGCGGTAATAAAACACAAACTAAGTCTCTTAGCTAAAAACAACCACATTGAAGCCTTTATTTACGTATTTGTACCAAATATGAATGTATAACTAATAATAATAAAAATAATGATTCACTTTGTTTATATATGGCGCCTTTCAGGACACCCAAGGTTGCTTTAAAATAAACATGCCAATAACAATTAATAAAATCCTGCCAAATATAATTTCAAATACATGAAGAATGAGAAGATTATAAATACAAACACATCTTAACTGTAAAATAACATGATAAAAAATAGTCCTTAAAAAGTCTGCTTGAAAAGATGGGTCTTAAGTTGGGGTCTTAACTAAATACTAAGTTAATGTTTGTTAATTGTTTAATATTTATATGACGTATATCGCATTTATTCAGGTATTTATCTATTACCGAGTTCAGAAAACTTCCTGTATTACTGTATAACAAAATATAAGTAAAATTATCTAATATACATACATCAGTAATGTCATTTATCTAGCCTTCAAGAATTAAATTATATGAACTATATGTGTATTAGAACTAAGTTGTGTATTAATTGCTAATTATTTGTACATCAAGGGTTTTTAACACATAAGTTAAAAGAATTTATTTATTCTTTGTCTGTTTAATTGTTGATTTTTCCTTTTATTTAATTTAATTTACATTTATTTTATTTTTGTTTTATTTTGTTTTGTTCATTAACATAAATTATTTATTTTATTTAGTTTTGTTTTTCTTGACATAAATTTTTTTTTTATTAACATAACAGTGTTTTGTTTTATTTTATTTTGTTGTTTTATTTTATTAACAAATTATTTTATTTTATTTTATCTTATTTTATTTTAATTGTTGATTTTTCCAGGTATATGTACCTCTTGGGTTTGTAAAACATAAATTATTTAATTTATTTTATTTTATTTATTTATTTATTTTAATTATTTTTTAACATAAATTATTTTATTTTATTTTATTAACAAAAAAGATTTTATGTAATTAATTGAATTTAATTTTATTAACATTTATTAACAATTTTATTTTATTTATTTTTTAATTTACATAAATGATTTTATTTTATTAATGCAAATTGTTTTGTTTTATTTTTTTATTAACATGAATTATTTTTTTCTTACATTTTTTATTTATTTATTTATTTATTTATTTATTTGTTTATTTATTTTTATTGCTTGTCTGTTTATTTGTTGATTTGTCCAGGGATTTGTACCCCTTGGGTTTGTAAAACTTAAATGACTTTATTTTATTCTATTCTATTTTAGTGACTAAATTTGGGAACAGATATGCGCACATAAACATATACATAAACACAAATAATGACATGCTCAGACATATAATAATTTCATTTCATTTCATTTATTTTATTAAAAATACTTACCATTCTATTATTAAAATAGTTTTCATTATCTTATCATTTTAGAATCATTGTCTCCAAAAAATAACAATAATTAATTAAATTTAACACATAAATAGTTTCACAAATATATTACTGACTTACGAGTGCATACGTTTTAAAATCACTAAGCGTCCCCTTTTCCAGTCATCACTGCAATCTCTCATTAATCTTAACGTCTATTTCCTTATTCCAGCTCTGATCCTTTAGCATACTTCACCACCATTAATGTTTCATGTAGGTGTCAGCCATGAAATGTGGCCTTCTTCCGCTGTCCCATGAGGCTTTGTTGGTGGGTGAAGTGGCTTATTATGACTATAATGGAGTGATGGAGGAAGAAGAGGATCGAGTGGAGCTCCAGAAGAGCCTCGGCCCCACATGCAAGGTTAGATCACACATTACAGTAAACATCCGGGCTGTGAGGATTTTTATGAGCTTGATACAGTGTTCTGGCTGATCTCTCTTTCCTGTTATTGTTCAGGTGTTAGTATTGAGGAACCATGGGATCGTGGCACTGGGAGAATCAGTGGAGGAGGCCTTTTACACAATCTACCACATCCAGACCGCCTGTCAAATACAGGTAGGCAAAATAAATTAAATTGAAAAACTTCTCATTTGGACAAAATGTAGGAGAATATATTAGTGGGCCAGTAGGACAAATGAGAGTGAACATTAGTGTTCAGAGATTCAGGCTGCGTCTGCACTATTTCAGTTCTACGCTCACCGGCCTTTATTAGGTACACCTTACTAGTACTTAATCCTTCGTGGCATAGATTCAACAAGATACTAGAAATATTCCTTCGAGATTTTGGTCCATATTAACATCACGCATTCACGCATCCCAAAGGTGCTCTATTGGATTGAGATCTGGTGACTGAAGGCCATTTAAGTATGATGAACTCATTGTCATGTTCAAGAAACCTCTGGCATCAACAAGCCCTTTGCACACACAGAACTGCCGCTCACTGGATACTTTCTCTTTTTCGGACCATTCACTGTAAACCCTGGAGATAGTTGTGTGTGAAAATCCCAGGAGATCAGCAGTTTCTGAAATACTCAGATAGTCTGGCACCAACAACCATGCTATGTTCAAAGTCACTTAAATCCCCCTTCTTCCTCATTCTGATGCTCAGTTTGAACTGCAGCAGATCGTCTTGACCATGTCTACATGCCTAAATGCATTGAGTTGCTGCTGCGTGATTGGCTGATTAGAAATTTGCGATAATGAGCAGTTAGATAGGTGTACCTTATAAAGTGGCCGGTAAGTATATTATAATAATAATAGTAGCTCCCAATAGTTTTTAAATGCACAGAAGGTATAACAGGCGACATGGACGAAGAAAAATTAAGAGTCCAGGTAATAGTGTGAATGTAAATTTAAATTTAAAAGAAAGTTATAAAGGAGGAGGATTAACAAAGCTTTAAAAGTGAAAAGCAGAAACATGTACACAACACAATAAGTAAAGTTTAGTAAAGAGTAAAAAGGGACAGAGCTTGCTGTCATCTACGTAGCATTGATTACCGCTTGACATTGTGTGGATGTTACCACTATGACGTAAATGAGATTTTGGTTTTTGGTTGCCATACTTGAGGAATAAATGTCAGTATTTGACGTCATTATGACGTTGGTTTAAGATGTTGGCTCGATGTTGGATTTTCGTCACTTTCCAACACAGCCTAAAATCAGCTGAATATCAGCTTCATTTCATGTCAGTATTGGACATCAAAATAACATCGTCCATAGATGCTCGTGAGTCGTGAACTAAATATAAACTAATATTAGGCCCTATCCCAATTCTACCCCTTAGCCCTTCCCCTTACCCCTACCCCTCGTTTTGCGCGTGCACGCCAAGGGGTAGGGGTGTCCCAATTCTCTTTATCTTGAGGACGTAGGGCTAAGGGAAAGGGGTGAATATATAAATATATGCATATATATATATATATATATATATATATATATATATATATATATATATATATATATATGATAATAATAGCAATCTGTCAGTTAAAAGATGCTAAAATATACATACTAGTATAATGGTTTAATTGTAACACTTTAAATTGTTTACACATGACATAGCAATGAAAGTCAACCTCACCAATGTGTATGTTTTTTAATCATTCTAGGAATAACTGGAAAAGTGGTGAAAATTAATTGGTCAAAAACTGTGTGACCCATGTGAAAAGAGATTTTTTTTCTTGGCTGATATGAAACTGTTTAATCATGCTGCAGTGCTGTGCTGTTCTGGCAGGTGGCAGCACTGTGCAGTGCAGGAGGAGAACAAAACCTCATCATGCTGGACCGCAACGTTCACCGGCCGGTCGCCAAAGGCACCGTGGGCTGGGCGGGATCCACCTTTGGCCCCATGCAGAAGAGCAGGCTGGGGGAGCATGAGTTTGAAGCTTTGATGAGGACACTGGACAACCTGGTTAGTTGATTAAAAATGTTCAGTAATTTGATCATTTACATTGTTACATATAATATTGATAGTGCATCACATAACAATACTTACATTTATATTACATTTATATATGCATAGAAAGTGCTTTACTGTTGCTGTATATATGATTGTTTCTTCACATATTTTATTACCAATGATAAACAATAACAAGAAAGAAAAAAAGAGACTAGACTAGAGCAATTGACTCTTGACATCTAATCCCTTGGTGTTTGTTCTTCAGGGTTACCGTACAGGATATGCCTACCGTTTCCCGGTTCTGCTGGAGCGCTCCAGAACCCGGCGAGAGGTGGAGGTTCCTGCCACCGTCACTTCATTTTCCTTCCATGAAGATGGGGTTCAGCCCCATCCGCGTCTCCATCCTCACACCCAGAGGCAGCAGCAGAAGACCAGGTGGCTGAACACCCCAAATGTCTATCAGAAAGTCAACCAGGACCAGGCCAGCCCGGGACATCGCACTACGGTCAGAAAGAAGTCTTTTGTACGGTCAAACCAGAAATTATTCAGACGTGTTTATCACATCATCACAGTTTATTTACTGCGGTTTAGACAATGGTAATAAAAAGATGACAAGAACTCATATTCCTATTGATGAGGAACATTGATAGAAAGGTTTACTAAAGTAAATGTTATGGATTACTGTCAAGTAACAATGTTTACAACTATCAATACTTTATTGTTCACTCTTAGCCTTAATGACAGCCTACTCATACAGATATCTGATATATGGCCATATATAAACATTTATAGAAACCTATCGCTAATATATTTGAACAAATAGGTTTATATTTGTAATTCCAATGGTTGAAGAAGTATATACAATATTTTGAAATGTGCAGTTAAAGTCAAAATTATTTGCCCCAGTGTGATTTTTTATTATTTTTTTTATTTATTTATTTATTTATTTATTTTTATTTTTTTTTATTTTTTTTCAGAGCAAGGATTTTTCTCACAGTATTTCCTAAAATATTTTTCTGGAGAAAGTCGTATATGTTTTATTTCAGCTAATATAAAAGCAGTGTTTAATTTTTTTTTACCATTTTTAAGGTCAATATTATTAGCACCCTTATGCAATATTTTTGTTTTGATTGTGAACAAACCACAGCCTAATTATCTTAACTTGTCCTGTTAACCTAATTAAGCTAGTAAACGGGGAATTAACAGGAGGGCTAATAATTCTGAACTGAACTGTATATTTTGCATAACATATGAAAAATTTTATATATTGGAAATCCAAATTAAATCTGTCATATACAGTTGACACCAGAAGCATACATACACTGGATAAAAATGCACATAATATTTTTTTTAAAAGTCAGATGTTAATGTGTCTAAACGTGTTCTCTTTTAGGTAAGTTAGGATTAACAAATTTGTTTCTGTTGTGCTTAATAGCAGAATAATGAAAGATATGTTTTTTGAAAAATTGTTATAAATTTTCTTGAAAGTCAAGTTTACATACAATAAGATTATTCTGCCTCTGAAAAAGCTCAGATGATGGTGTCAAGGTTTTGGAAGTTTCTGATTGGCTAATTGACAACATTTGAGTAATGGGAGGCACAACTGTAGAATAGTATTTAAGGAAAACCTCTAACACATTGCTTCCTTGTGTGACAACATGGGGAAATCAACAAGCCAGAATCACCAAACAAAGCCAGATTACAATTTGCTAAATGACACTGGGATAAAGAATAATTTTTGGAGACATGTCCTGTGGTCTGATGGAACTAAGATTGAACTGTTTGGCCATAATGACCAGTGTTACATTTGGAGGACAAAGGGAAAAGCCTATAAACACCATCCCAACTGTAAAGTATGGGGGCTGCAGCATTATGTTGTGGGGCTGTTTGGCTGCAGGAGGGACTGGTCTACTTCACAGCATAGATGGCATCATGGAGAAAGAACATTGTGTAGAAATACTGAAGCGACATCTCAAGACATCAGCCAGGAAATTAAAACTTGGCCACAAATGGGTCTTCCAAACAAACTATGACCCTAAGCATAATGCCAAATTAGTTAAATTGTGCTTTAGGGCAACAGAGTGAATGTTTTGGAGTGGCCATCACAAAGCCCTGATCTTAATCCTATAAAAAAAATTGTGGGCAGAGTTGGAAAAAGCTTGTGCGAGCAAGACAGCCAACAAATCTGACTCTATATTAGATGTCTATATGGCTGTAGTCTCGTGTTGTAAAATAGATTCATGCAAACCTCTAAAATGTACAGGTATTTTCAACATCAGCATTTTGACAAAACGCACAGCAAAGTTTCATAAATTTAAAAGCATAAATAAGCAGATTTTATCTTTAAATTCAGACAATTTAGAATACAGTGCTCAAAAGAAACACAAAATGAACCAATCTTCTTCAATGTGCAACACAAACACCCCTGTTAAAATCTCTAAAATAATGTTTTTAATATGCTGTGAAGAATCGGGTAAGCTAAATTGTCTGTAATGTTTGTATGTGAATGAGTGTGTATGGATGCTTCCCAGTGATAGGTTGCAGCTGAAAGGCCATCCGCTGCATAAAACTTATGCTGGATAAGTTGGCAGTTCATTCTGCTGTGGTGACCCCAGATTAATAAGGGGACTAAGCTGAAAAGAAAATGTATGAATGAATGAATGAATGAATGTGCCGTCAACTGAATCTATCACATTTTCCAATGAGGTTTCATTAGTTCATGTATTTACTAACATGAACTAAGTACGAACAACACTGGTAGAGCATTTTTTAATCATAGTTCAACATTTACTAATGCATTATAAACATCCAAAGTCATGCTTGTTAACAGTAGTTGATGTACTGAGTTCTGACACTGAACAATTGTATTTTCATTACGTCGACTAACATGAACAAATACTGTAATAAATGTATTGTTCATTGTTTGTTCATGCTAGTAAACACACTAACTGACATTAACCTCATTGTAAAGTGTTACCACTAAATCTTTTGGTCTCCTTCACATTCAGCCACTAACCATTCATATTTTCTTCTACAAGTATCAGTGTTTGTGAATGAGTAAGCCAGTAAGCGTGTTCAGAAAATAGTCTGACTGTGAATCATAGGATATTATTGGTATAATGGCGTATTTGTTACATCACGCTGTGAGGGAGGACTGGTGTTTCTCTCCCACCTCCCTTTTCTCCTTCTCTGCAATGCAGGGGGAGATTTTTAATCGCATTGACACTCTCTGCAGTGACCACAGCGCCCTCTCCTGGTTACTCTCAGATCTGTTGCACAATTCTCTTTTGTATTCCTTCAAATTGTCCGCTTTTTTACAGAAAAAAATTGGAATAATAAAAATGTGAGTGTGAAATGACGAGCTTTTGAATTTCTCCTGTATTGATTTCTTCTCTTTCAGTGGCAAAAGTCTGAGGAAATCACACAAGGCAGTGGACGAGCCATAAAGATTGAGAATCCAAACCAGTTTGTTCCTCTGTTCACCAATCCAAAAGAAGTCCTCGAGACTAGAAATAAGGTATTTTTCATTATTTATTGAATTTTTGCATCGATGTAATAAGGTTCGATGGCCATCGGGAAGAAGGAGAATTGCCAGCAATAAGTCAGATTTGTTTCCAGTGCATGTTGGACTCCGGCAGGGCTGCCTCAGGGCTGCTGGAGGGGGTCCGGTTTGGACCACAGGATTTAATCTCATCAGACATGGACCTTCAGCATGCACTAAGGTGGTTTGCTGCTGAGTGTGATGGGGCTGGGATGAGAATCAGCACCTTCAAGTCCGAGGCAATGGTGCACCACCGGAAAAAGGTGGTTTGCCATGTTTAGGTTGCAGGAAAGTCCTTACCTGAGGTAGAGGAGTTTAAGTATCTTGGGGTTTTGTTCACGAGTGAGGGAAGGATGGAGCGTGACATTTACAGGCGGATCAGTGCAGCGGCTGCAGTAATGCGGTCAATGTACCGGTCCGTTGTGGTGAAGGAGCTGAGCCGAAAGGCAAAGCTCTCGATTTACTAGTCAATCTACGTCCCTACTTTCACCGATAATCATGAGCTTTGGGTCATGACCGAAAGGACAAGGTCACGGATACAAGCAGCCGAAATGAGTTTCCTTCGAAGGGTGTCAGGGTGCACTCTGGATACACTCTCAGAAATAAAGGTATGCGAGCTGTCACTGGGGTGGTACCTTTACAAAAGGTACAAATTTTTACCTAAAAGGTCCATATTAATACCTCAAGGGTACATATTAGTACCTAAAAAGTACAAAAGTGTTCCTCTTAAAATTTGTAGGTACTTATATATACTTTTGAGGTATCAATATGGACCCTTCAAGTACAAATGTGTATCTTTTGAAAAAGGTACCACCCCAGTGACAGCTCACATATCTTTATTTCTGAGAGTGTAGGGTGAGAAGCTCTGACACCCGGGAGGAGCTGGGAGTAGAGCCGCTGCTCCTCCACATCGAAAGAAGTCAGCTGAGGTGACTCGGGCATCTGTTTCGGATACCTCCTGGACGCCTACCTAGGGAGGTGTTCCAGGCATGTCCCACCGGGAGAAGGCTTCAGGGAAAACCCAGGACACGCTGGAGGGACTATGTCTTTCGGCTGGCCTGGGAACGCCTCGGAATTCCCCCGGAGGAGCTGGAGGAAGTGTCTTGGGAGAGGGAAGTCTGGGGTTTTCTCCTAAGACTGCTGCCCCCGCAACCCGACCCTGGTAAAGCGGCAGAAAATGAATGAATGAATGAATGAGTGAATGAATGAATTCTCTGATGCAAAGTTGAATTTTCAGCCTCAATGCTTTAGTGTCAAATTATTCTAATATAGTTTCATATCTGATTAATGTCTAATTATGGTTAATACTGAAAACAGTTCTGCTGCTTAAAATTTGCAAACTTATTTGATGATTAGAAACTACTAAATGCTCAAAAACAAAATGTTAGAGAATACTTGATGGCCAGCAGATGAAGAATAGGATAAATAGGAGAATACTGAAAGGAATAACTCACCCGAAAATGAAAATGTACTCATCCATTTACTGTTCCTCAAGTGGTTCCAAACCTTTACGAGTTTCTTAATTCTGCCGAACACAAAAGAAGATGTGCTGAAGAAAGCTGTAGTAGGAATAACAAATACTATGGAAGTTAATAGTTACAGGTTCTTTACAGGTTCACAGTTACAGCCTTTTTTCTTTCGTGTTGAACAGAGGAAATAAGCTCAGTCTTGGAGATACTGAAGAGTATTGAACCTAACATTTCCCTTAATGATGTGTGCAAGCATTGTTCTTATTATTTTATCTCTTAGTCTATGATACTTTTGAATTATTTAATATGTCTTCTACGTTTTTTTCAAGGGAAAGAAAGACATTTGTCATAATCTGTTAGCTGCATGACTTACCAACAGAACTGTGAGCAGATTTGACTTATTATGGCACAGAATGGCAGATTCACCAACAGTGTGAGACAGAATGTTTGTAGCAACAGAAGTGTCCCAACATGTGTTGCTTTTCAGATTCACCATCAGGACAAATCTGGTGGTGAAATAGAAAAGGAGAGAACAGCCAAAAAGTGAGAAGATGACAAAAGAAGAAGAAAAGCTGAATAAAAACATAATATAATGCAATAAACCTGAATTAAGTTTATGACTGTGAATATAAATATGTTAACATTAAGATACATTCATGATGTTTGTACCTTAGTAAACTGGCGTATATGAAAAAAAGAAAATAATATTTATGTGAATAAAACAAAGCCAAACTTTTTGTTAGCAAAATGACTGAATCATCCTTGCTTACTTGGATCGTAAAATCAATGTTTGGTGCAATGAAGGTAGCAGTCCACAGACCACAATAAATGTTCATACAGAGCGAATATGGCAAGAAAACTGTTTCATATTGCAGTGGTGTCTGCACAGAAGTGCTGCTGGAAGATTTGAAAAACCTGTAAAAGTCAGGAATTTTGAGAAATCATTTTCCAGGCTCAGAAAAGTTTTGCAAAAAACAAATAAACCCAAAAAGTTGAGAAAAAGTCTTGGAGATTTGTTTAACAAATATCTGTGTACTTGAATATATATGAGATGATAATATTGGGTAAATTTTAAATACAAATGCGCTGTTCATCCCTTCGGGTGATGTTCATTGCGTGGGGTAAAAAGCAACTGCAAAACATTTTCACACAGGCAGCATGATACTTTCTAAAAGCTTTTTTTACAGATATGAAAATAAATTTAAACTACAAAGATTGTCACATATTTTTAAAATGCTATAATAAATTTAAACGTGCATTTTTTCTTATTTGCCACATGTACGTAGACATTACAAGAAACGTTAGGTCATGAATATTTCCTCACACTTTATTTTGATGGTTCGTTTGTTGAATTTAAGTTACACTGCATCTACATGTCAACTAATTCTCATTAAATTATAAGTGGAATATTAGGTTGAGGTTTGGGTTAGTGTAAGTTGACATGTACGTTTCTCATAGTCTGTTAAATGTCTGTTGAAGGAGCAGTATCAACAGATATTAAGCAGACAGTCTACTAATACTCAAATGGACCGAATATTTACCTAAAAGTTTTGGAAAAGTCATGGAAAAGGAATTTTAGTAGTATAGTTCTTAGTAGTAAATTTGTATAAACTCTGGTATGATGATGATTTTTTTGTTGTTGTTTCAGATAAGAGAGCAGAATCGTCAAGACATGAAAACAGCCGGACCTCAATCTCAAGTGCTAGCCAACGTCATCACAGACAACAGTCCACCGGTGAGATCACAGAGTGTCTTTCAGTTTATACAGTTGAAGTCAGAATTATTAGCCCCCTGAATTATTCGCCCCCTGTTTATTTTTTTCCCAAATTTCTGTTTTAGGTAGAGCAGATTTTTTTCAACACATTTCTAAACATAATAGTTTTAATAACTTATCTCTAACAACTGATTTATTTTATCTTTGCCATGATGACAGTAAATAATATTTGACTAGATATTTTTCAAGACACTTCTATACAGCTTAAAGTGACATTTAAAGGCTTAAAGGTTAGGGCAATTTGGCAAGTTATTGTATATAAATTACAGTTTGTAATTCATACTTCAACAGTATATATATATATATATATATATATATATATATGTTTGACAGAGCAAGGAAATTTTCACAGCATTTCCTGTAATATTTTCCCTTCTGGAGAAAGTCTTATTTTTTAATTTTGGCTAGAATAAAAGCAGTTTTTAGTTTTTAAACACCATTTTAGGGACAAAATTATTAGCCCCCTTAAGGAAAAAATTTTTTGGATAGTGTAAAGAACAAACTATTGTTATATAATAACTTGCCTAATTACCCTAACCATATATATATATGTATGTATGTATGTATGTATGTATGTATGTATATATGTATGTATATATGTATGTATGTATGTATGTATGTATGTATGTATGTATGTATGTATATATATATATATATATATATATATATATATATATATATATATATATATATATACACATACATATACATACATACATATATACATACATACATACATACATACATACATATATATATATATATATATATATATATATATATATATATATATATATATATATAATTGTCTAAAATTAGATCTATGTAGCAAAAGTAGCAAAACAGCAGCAAAAGACTATTGATAAAAGTCTGTCCAAGCATTCTGAACCTAGCATTCATATGTGTTTTCTTTATCTGCACCTGTGTTCTTATCTTAAGTTAAAACCTACAAGTTCTTTGACAGCAGCTGGTCTCATCCAAACTATAATAATACTTCATTGAGCAAATCCTTGAACAAATCCTTCATTTCTGATACTATCAAAACAAGTTTTACTTCATAATTGCTCTCGTCAGCCTGCCACCATTATCTCTCTCCACTTTCCAGCCGGTGCCCTCTGTGGTTAAACTCCTCTTTTAACTGTGGCAGACTCATGGTCATTTTCTACCAGATAGTGTGTTTTCTCTTGGGAAAAGGGAATATTTTATTCTGAGATTGCAGGATTTCAGGATTATGTGAGCATGTTTCCTGTTCCTCCAGTCTCCTGAGATTGTTGAGCCTCCAGTCCCACCAGAGCCGGAGACTCCAAACCCCTTCAACGAGCTGACGGATCATGAGCTGGAGGAATATCGCAAGGAGGTCCAGCGCAAACAACACGGCCAGCAGGACGGTACGAGATGACAGTGTCTTAACTAGACTTAGAGAGAGTAGTTCTGTCCCACATCCTCTTTTTCTAACCTATTGATTTCGAGCCCAGGCATTGACATCTGATTGATTTTACCGCTGGATTAATGAAGACAATCCAATAAGCACCTCTACAGTACATATCTTTAGACAAACATCGACTTTATGTCATTGAATACCAAAGTTTAGCTTTTTTAATTTTATTTTTTTTATCTAAGATTTGAAGCAATATATATATTTAAATCCAGAATGTATGTGTTTAATACTAAAGTGTGCCTTGAAAATAAATGAGTTAAAGTTTAATTGAGCTTCAGCATGTTTCCAGAAACATCAAACTTGAGGATTTGTGTCCTGACATCATTTCTTTATTATTAAGCACCTGAAGTCTGATCTTTATCCTCTGTGTTGTGTCTTTTTAAGCCTGACAGCCTTCCTACATGCACTGAAATCCAAGAACTCTTTTATAGTTACTACCAGTGTTGGGGAAGTTAAATGCAAGGTTACAAAGTTCACATAATCCAACGGTTTGGCAGGTTACAGTGACATTAGTAGAAACTAAAAATTCCCTCAGGTTTTTTGGCTTTTAAGATTTTATAAGCAGTCTTTCTTCCTGCTTAAGAAATGTTGCTTATTATTATTAAGTGTGGAAGAATTATTAATGACTTTTTTCAGTAACTGCATTGATTATAAATGGAAATCTTTTGCATTTTTAATATTCTAAATGTAACATGCGATTATAAATGCAATTTTACTATTATAAATGTAACTTGCAATTAAAAATACAATTTTAAGGCCATACATAAAAAAGGTAAATTAAAAACATAAATCTTACTATCCACAAAAAAATATATATACAATGATATAATATATTTATTTGGCACATAAATAATGAGAATTCCTATTAAACAGTATACATTTACACTTTGTAGATCTACAGTACAATGTATAAATAATAAATAATTATCAGTTTGCTGCATTTTTTTTTATCTGTGAGTATGTGCTTTTAAACTGCATCATAGGGCCTTGATATCTGCTTTGACAACTTTTTTATGTTAGAAAATTAGAAATTAGTTTTTAAAACAGTGACAAAACTTTTTAGTTAGTCAAAACAATATCATTGTTGTTTAAGAGATCATTAGTTATAGATCCATAATAAAACTGAAAAGTTGCTGATAGTTACCTGGTTTTTGAACTGAAATTAGCAACCAAGACTATTTATTTTTTCAAACTAATAAAAATGTTGATAAAATTCACTAAATGTCAATAAAAGTCAGGTTTTATAATGCATTTTGAAAGCTGTTGCTGGGACTTTTATTTTAGTATGTTGACATACATCCAACTGAAAGTTGATATTGAGTTGTGGGTGGCACTTTCTTTTTTTTGCATCATTCTCACACAGCAAATTATCATTAAGAAGAGTGTATATAAATATTAAGGCTAAATCATCCATCTAACATCAAAAGAGAACGACCACCATACTGTAAAACCCCAAAAAATTGAGGTAACTTAAACTATTTGAGGAAACCGAATGCAACAAACCATTTAAGTTCATAAACTAATCCTAATGAGTACTGTGAACTTAATCCATTTGAGTAAACGGAGCAATTTGAGCCCAGTAAAACCCAATAAATGAGGAGAACTCAAACTAACTGAATACTGTAAAACCCAGTAGGTTAAGGCAACTCAAACTAAATGAGTTTAAAAAAAACTATTCTACATAAGAACTGTGAACTTACTCCTTTAAGTTAAAGTAATGAGGTAATTAATTAACTCATTACCTTCAACACTGAGTTCAAAACTCTTTTCAAATGAGTAGAATGAACATTCAGTAAATTCTGAGTTAACTACACTCATTTCATTTGATAAAGTTGACTGTTGGGTTTTACAGTGCACTTTAAAAGCAGAAGCAAATGCTCAGACTTTAAAACAAACAGAAACTAGCCCTCTTTTCGGTAGATTAACATATGATTAAAGAATAACAATGCGAGCTTGCTAAATAAAACTCAACTCATGCAATTGTCAAAGCTCAAATACAGTCAAATAACTCAACTCAACTCACTTTATTTCCATAGCACTTTCACAAATCACAATGATTACCAAAGTGCTGTACATAAAACGCATGTAAAATATACATAAAACCAAAATACATAAACATGATTAAAAGCTAAAGAAAATAAGTGTGTTTTCAGTGACCTTTGAAAAGACTCAAAAGTTTGAGCTGTTCTTAAAGAGATTGGGAGATCGTTCCAGAAGAAATAAACTCAAAACAGTCAATTACACACAGAATTAGACACAGACAGAAGAAAACATCCATGAATCACAAGCAAACAAATATTATTGCTAAACCAAACACTCAGATGGAACGAAACATAACCTCTCTCCCCCCAAAATAATCACAATAATTTTGGAACCATTTCTCTTTTAATGAAATGACTCTCCAGCACTGGTTCTCACTCACTGTACACCTCCTCCTTCTTATCTTATTTCCCTGTGCTGTACTTGTGTTTCCTCTCCTTTTCCTCCTTCACTGTGATGTTGTGTAAAGGTGTGGAGGAGGTGGTGAATGACACGGGGTCTTCCCCAACTACCTCCCCCATAAAGACCCCAGCGGCGTCAGGTGAGAGCCGGCGGTGCTTCACCCACACCTGTGCATGAAAACCCGCTGAAACACCTGCTGTAGTCGCATCATCCACATCCTCCTGACCACCCCTGTTACTAAAGAGAACATTGTTTTGTCCAATTGGGTTTAAGTAGATTAATGCAAATTGCTTTTATTATAATCGCTAAAAATAACTCCCTTGAAGAAATGGTTCACCCAGAAATGACTGTTCTGTTATTGCACTACATATGGTGACACTTAAAGGGAGAGTACACCCACAAATGAAATTCTGCCATCATTTATTCACCCTTGACTTCGTTTAAACTTGTTTCTTTGTTCAGTTGAAAGCTTCAATTTTTGTGAATATTTTTATTTTTATTTTTTTAACATTACTATGGTTCTATAGTGTAGTTTCGACTATATTTCTAGTGGTATAATCCATTTTTACTGTAAATTTAAGGATTTTTACAGTACACTATGAAAGTCAATATGCTTTTTCCAATACTCCAACATTGTGCTACATATGATGCAAATTTTCCATTTCTTATGGTATAATCCAGTTTTTACTGTAAATTTAAGGATTTTTACAGTGTAAAAGTAAATACCCTTTTTTCCCCCAACATTCCGACATTGGCTAGGTAAAACTCTTCCATTTCTAATGGTATTATCCAGTTTTTACTGTAAATTTAAGGATTTTTACTGTGTGCTATACACTGAAAAAAGTGTTGCATCCAGAACTGTTGCAAACAATTTATTTGTGTTGAATTTAAACAAACAAATTAAGTTTATTAATGTTCAACTAAATTTGTTTGTTTAAATTCGACACAGATAAATAGTTTACAACCACTTTACTTAAAAAAATTGAGTAAATCCAAGGAGTCATCTCTGAATAATTTTTTTCAGTGTATGAAAGTCAATAGCTGCTTCTTCCCAACATTCCAACATTGCTCTAAATATGGTGACACTGTTCCATTTCTAATGGTATAATCCAGTTTTTTACTGTATATTTAAGGATTTTTACTGTGTGTACCATGATAATCAATAGCTGCTTTTCTCAACATTCCAACATTGCTCTACTGTATTTATGGTGCAACTTTTCCAAATGTAATGGTATAATTCAGTTTTTTTACTGTAAATTTAAGGTTTTTTAGTGTACTGTGAAAGTCAAAACCTTCTTTTTCCAACAATCCAACATTAGTGCAACTTTGCTCTATATATGGTTCAACTTTTCATTTCTAATAGCATAATCCAGTTTTTTAAGGTAAATCTGAGGATTTTTAGAGTGTACTATGAATGTCAATAGCTGCTTTTTCCAACATTTCAGTGTTGCACTATATATGGTGCAAATTTTCCAATGGTATAATCCAGGTTTTTACTGTAAATTTAAGAATTTTTTTAAAGTGTACTGTGATAGTCAATAGCTGCTTTATTCCAACATTGAGCTATATATGGTGCAAATTTTCAAATTGTATAATCCAGGTTTTTACTGTAAATTTGAGTTTTTTAGTGTACCATGAAAATCATTAGCTGCTTTTTCCAACATTGCGCTACATGTGATGCAAATTTTCCAATTCTAATGGTACATTCCAGGTTTTTACTGTATTTATTACTATATATTTTTTCTGAATTTCTAGATGATTAATTTTGGCATTGATTAATTAGAGTTTTTTAAAAATGTACAATGTAAAAAAATGTCCTTTATTTTTTACATTACAGTATAATTCTGCTAGTTATTTTACTGTACATTTACAGATTAGTTTTTTTTTTTTTACAGTGTTCAATGAAAGTCAATAGCTGCGTTCTTCCAACATTCTTCAGGATATTTTAGTTTGTGTTCAATCAGTAAAAACAAATCTAAAAAAAATTTGAAGGACTTGAGGGTGAGTAAATAATGTGGAAATTTTCGTTTTTGCATGAACTATCCTTGAAGGTTTCATTACATTAGTTAACATGAATTAAGAATGAACAATAGTTTTACCGCATTTTTTTCACTAATTATAGATAACGACCGCATTTACTGATGCTTTACTAAAACTGATTGACTGAAACTTTTACAAACCGTTGTATTGTTTAACATTTGCCAATGCACCGTGAACTAACATTTTTATTTACTAACTGACTAACATTTTTATAATGCTTTGTTCATTGTAGTTCATGTTAGGTAATAAGTGAACTAATTTCATCAAATGAAACGTAATTAAAAGTGTTACCCATAATGTGTTTATTTTCATATAAGCTACCATTTACTGACAACCTCAGAGCTCAAAACAGGTCTGTGCTGAAAGATTCATCTAATATTGTTAAACCAAGCCAATCCCCCGCCCCTCCACCAACTCCCCGAGGGGAAGACAATACTAAAATACAATTAATGAGAAATTTAACAAATAAGAAAAATAATTCTTGTTTATTCATAATAACAGCCACTGATACCACCCATTCAATCAAGCAACAACATTCGAATCGGCTGTGAATTTCATATCCTTTGCTTCAAATCAAAAGTTTTAAAAATCAATTCTTAAAAAAAGTTTCTAGTGTAGCTGGTTGGTTTGGTTCTTTGCTTGTAACATTAACAAAGACTTTATTAAACTAAGCCAACTTAACAGTTCCAAGTTACATTGGGATTATTCAATTTTTAAGTAAAGTCAATTTGTGGGTTTTAAGGCAACAGGTTTGCTCACTTTTTTTAAAGTAAAGTAACTAATTGCTTTAAAAAGTGATTAATCTGACCATTTATAAATCCACAAATCCAGCTGTGACGATGCTGTGATTTATTATTCCACAAATGTGCGAATAATGGCAGAGGTTGTCTTTTGGGTGAACAGTGCCTTTAACTGGACGCAGAGTAACATGGGTAGTCTGTATTCAAGTCTGTGTCTGTGTTTTCATTTTAATTTTTCTGTTTTTATTTACGTGTGACATTACTGTTTGGCCTCCATCTGTCTTCACATCTTCTCTGTCTGTCTCTGTCCCTCTATTATAATTTGTAGGACAGTCGTTTGGTACTGAGATCTTGTCTCACTAGTGAGTATATAGAAAACTAAGACATTGCACACAACTTGAACCAGCTTGTTGGCCACAACTAGCAGCTGCTTCTGTGCCATGGTTAAAACCGCTTAACATCCTGACAAATGCTTAACTGCTTTTCTTTATTTTTCTTTTACTATTTCTTTTGCATTTTTATTTCAATTGCATTCGCATACAGATGAAAAAACTGCAGATGCTGTTCAAAATGATAAAGGTGATGAGAAGAAGAAGCAGGAGGAGCTTGAAAAGCAAATGAAGGCGCTATCGACCACTGACACTTCAGAAACCACGCTCTCAGCCCCGCCCACAGCCCCGCCCAACAAGCCTGCAGGAAACACCCCCGAGGGCTCGCCGTCCAAATCCCCATCCAAGAAAAAGAAGAAGTTCAAGGCGCCCTGTTTTCTCAAGAAAAGCAAGAAACAGAAAGAAAAGGCAGAAACTTGAACTCTTACAGATACGTTTTCTTCACTAATACTTCACATCCACTGTGTATCCATTTACTGACCTTGCCAGCGGGAACCTTGATGTCAAAACAAAATCAAATTCACATCAAGCGAAAACATGACAAAAATCCAGCCTAATCTCACGAGGAAATGTAACTATTTTACTTTTTGTCATTTTAGTAGCTAATTTCAAGCTATTTTAAGTTCACTCGTATGAAAATGTAAGAAGGAGGCATGACACCAAGCCCCACCCCTAAACCCAACCCTCATTGGTGGATAAGCAAATCATATTTAATTGTACGAATGAGATCGTACAATTTCATACGAATTAACCACTAAATCAAAGTTACGAATTGCCGTGAGATAGCATTGGCTTTGTCAATTTAGCACGGAAATAAGAAAATCTGAAAATGTATGAAAGTTTAGTACTAAAATGTAGGAGGCGTGGCACCAAACCCCACCCATAAACCCAACTGTCATGGGGGGATGAGCAAATTGTACTAAATTGTACAAATGAGATCATACAAATTAGCTAACAAATCAAAAAGTTACGAATTGCCATGAGATTGCGTTGATTTTGTCAGTTTAGAATAAAAATATGCAAGTCCAAAAGTGTACAAAAGTATAGTGTATAAATGTATGATTTTTAAATGGAGGCACGTCACCAAACCCTACCCCTAAAACCAATTGTCTTGGGGGGATGAGCAAGTCGCACTAAATTAATATTAATTTAATAATTCATGAATAAATAAATCAAAAAGTTACAAATTGCCATAAGATAGCATTGAAAACCTTGACGTCCAGTTGCATTGATGTCGTTTTGGTCACCAAAATAACAATGCAAAAAAATATTACAAAATAAGATTTATGTATTCTGATTGCATGTCAATTTTTCATCCATATGGATTACATACTTTTAACATAATTTAACTGACTGAACAGACAATGACTAATATTTGTTAGTTAAACATTAATGAAACAAGATCTTGATGTCAAAATGAAATCAAATTGACCGAGCAAAAACATGTCAAAAATGCTAATTGATTTGTTGTCCAAACCCAGCCTGATCTCACGAGAAAACATAACTATTTTACGTTTTTTCAGTTTAGTGGCTAATTTGTATGAATTTGTATGAGTTTAGTTTTACAAAAAAGTACAAATAAAAAAAAAGTGGGGGGGGGGTGGTTTGGGGTTGGGGTGGCACCAAACCCCACCCCTAAACCCAAACGTGATTGGTGGATAAAATAAATCATCAAAAATCATACTAAATTCTACAAATGAGATTGATATCATATGAATTAGCCACTAAATCAACAAGTTACGAATTTCTGTGAGATAGCGTGGGTTTTGTCAGTTTAGTACGAAAATACAAAAGTACAAAAATGCATGAAAATGTACAAAAGTTTAGTACAAAAATTTACAATTTTAAAAAGGAGGTGTGGGACCAAACTTCACAACCAAACACCACCGTCATTAAGCGATGAGCAAATCATACTAAATTGTACAATGAGATCATACAAACTCATACGAGTTAGCCACTAAAACCAAAACATTATGAATTGTTGTGAGATAGCGTTGCAAAATTTTGACATCCAGTTGATGTCCGTGCATTTATGCTGCTTTGACCACTGTAATACAACACAAAACATATTATGCAATCAAAAAATGTAGGCCTGACAAATAAGATTTCTGTATTCTGATTGTATATAATATTTCCATCCATTTGGATTACATACTTTTAACATAATTGAACTTTATATTTGATTTGATTTGTTTATTTTCGATCAAAAATATCATACATAAAACATAATTAACAAAAAAAAAAACATTTCAACATGATCGAAAATGGAGTTGGATGAAGCACAAGCTTATTATTTTCCCACCCCATTACCACATACTTCATTTGTCTATTACTTAAACGTATTTCTTCTTTTACTCATCCCTTTTTTTTACATTAGACATGTTTTATCCTTTTGGCATCTTTGACATATTATATGTTTAAATCAATTTGTACCTTTACGTTTTGTAACATAGACCGCACGGAAAAAAAACATAGTACTGCAAATAGCCATTAATTAAAGTTTCATCATACCTTTCTCATTTTATCCTTTCTCAATCACCTTCATCATTATATTCCTTTAATAATATATATGTATACAACTTTTAAACTGATTATTATGCTGACATTTTTTGAGAGCAAGATCTAGACTGTTCCATACTTTCACACCACAGACAGACAAACACAAACTTTTTAAAGTTCTTCTTGTTTTCAACCTCTTAAAATTTAGTTCTTCTCTCAGGTTGGATTCCCCTTGTCTTTCCCCTTGTGCTGTATTAAATTGAATTCGATCATTGAACTTGACTACTTTAATCTAAAAAGTACAGGATTTTTATGCTCCAAATAACCCACACTGTCTATCAGTTTAATTTCTTTTTTCTGCATTGTACTTGACTGATATCTGATAAATGGAACAAATAAAAGATTTCTGAAATAATATCAATAAATCCAATGTGTTTAATATGTTTCTTATTCATTTAAAGCACATTGGATTTAATCTATTGTGTGGAATATGGAGCTGCATAAATTTTGCCCCTGGTTAATAAGTAAACCAATCTCATGGAACTGAACTAATTGGATCTGGCTTGATTCTACAGCTCTAGATATATTTATACCATATTCATATTTTAGCTGATTAAATCTAATAGTATTAAGATTGATTCTAAGGAATCTGACAACATACATTAAAAAAAAACTGATGAGTTAAATAAAAAGCCTACAAACATTGTGTTTTTTTATTATATAAGTAATATATTAATACATAATATATGTAATAAAAAATGTTTATTCATCTGAAAGCTTCAATTATAAATTTACACTGGATTTTTCCTACAATGCTTATACCTTAATGTCAAAATTACATCAAATTGACCTCTAAAACTGGCATCAAAAAACATTTTAGGATGATTATAGCACTGCAAAAGATTTTTGATGTGCTTTTTTGATATGATGTGGGGTTTTTTTGACAACATTACATGTCAGTTCGATGGCATTTTAACTTCAAGGTAGTCAGTTGACATCAAATCGATTCGCACTTTTTGACCTGTTTCTATTTTGTCATTTTTACATGAAGGTTCCCGCTGGGTTCACATGCCATACGAGTTTTTAATTATGGTTTTGTGACCTGAAACACGTTTCACATTCAATTTCACAATGCTTCACTGATGCACATTGAATATGTGACCCTTCCCTTTGCTTTAAAATGAATTGCACTTAGTATATGCATAAAAGAAAAGAAAACAAGAATGTGGCATTGAGTAAGCATTGATTGTTCACGTCTATCGATTCTGATTGTTCCTCATTATCATGTTTATATACATACATGTGGCATAACTGTGTTCTGAGTTGACGAATCTTTTTCAAACATCCTACATCTCACTTTGTTATGAATAGCAGGGATTAAAACTAACCTAAAATAAACCAATCACTGGAAATCATGATCGCAATGGCTTGCAAATAACACACACACACGTCTGAAGGCCAAAATAAGCAAGATCATGGCTTGTTGCTGCAAAGAAAAATTCAACTTTAAATGCACGAATTTATTCCACTTGTTTTTTTTTTCCAATTGTTATTTTTTTGGGAGGGGGTATATTTATTTTGTATGTATGCTGGAGACTTCTTTGCAGTTGTAATTATTTTTATGATCCGTCACTGTTATTTAAATGCTTTTGTGTGTATATTAGCTGGTTTATAAACTTGATTCCATGTCAATATTAGAATGTAAAATGCTAGGATCGGATGTATCATTCATTAAAGTTCACATCCATGTTGAGTTGTTGTAGTTCTTTCTTTGGGTTCGATTTTTACTTGGATGTAATGATTGCTAGTTTGTTTGTTTGTGTTTTGTTTGTTTATGTGTTCATTCGTTTGTTTTTTTGAAAATGAGTTAAAAAGTTGTGTTGAAGATTTTTTAAATCTATCCAGGTGATCTCCTTGGCCCAGTTTTTCTAAAGTAATCCAGTGGGATTTCAGATCACGGATTGGATCAAATCTTGATAATGGGTTTTTCTTCTTCTTGTGATTTTATTTGGCGGTTGGTAACCAGCTTTTTGGAGCATTACCGCCACATATGGAAAAAACAAAAACCAACAAACAACTTTTTCCAAAATCCTTTTTTCTATTGATTACCCTCAGCCAATACCCTTTCCATCTGCATATTACAGCTATATTATATAGTGGCTATTTTCTCTAAGGAGGCTCTCTCAGTGGTCAAGAAACAAAGTCTTACCCGGGATGTCTTTTACAAGTTTTATTCTTTATAAAGAAGATCACAGTCATACAGCGACAACAGTTTCTGCAGAGTGAGATACTAAAGCAAAGTGTGTTCCCCTTTTTATCTAGTTTGTACTGCTTACGAGGTCAACTCCCAATAAGGCCTCATCTACAATTACATCAGGCGTCTTCTGCTGTTCGTGCGATATGCTCATAACAACCACACATCCTTCTTAGGATAATGAAAAAGCTTTCATCTAAAGAAATATAGTTATCTATAAAAAATGTACACATAGGTTTTATGATGAACATATGGAGAACACAGATACACACACGTAATAATGAGTCTTAGACAAGTTTCTAATATATAAAGCTCATCTAAAAATGAATTTCCATTACAATTACCATAGCTGAACATTACAACTTGTGAAGTTGGAGATTACCACTATGCTAAAAAATCTTTCAGATGGGGAGCTAGTGGCTGGGATGCTCAAGAAAAGAAACCAAAAAAGCCACTCTGGAGACATCCTTAAATCCTGTTTTATTTACAACTCTGTTAAAATAGTTGGGTTAAAATACCCCAACACATAACCCAACTATAGATTATTATAGCACCTTCCTAACTATTGGTTATTTTATCTCAATGCATTGGGTTTTTTAATTAAATGTTATTTTGTCTATACTGGTATTACTATTGCTACTATCACTACTAATTCTATTCATTTTATAATTATGGCTGGGTAAATAAATAACACACAGTTTTCAAAATTATTGAAAATGCTTTATTTCCATAAAATTTTTGTTCGACACTTTTGTTGAATTAAATGAAGAATCACAAACAATGAAGAAACAGAACAAAGTATAAACTGTGCAAGCAGAAAATCCTGTGTTGATGGAGCAGAATATGGAGCTCTGTGTGCTGTAAAGACTGTCCAGCAGCTGCAGCAGGCTTCACAGTGTCCACAATCTACAAAACATTTTAAACACATCCTAACGCTTCTAAAAGATGGTCTTGGATGGTAAAACGAATATAAAAACCACGACATGAAGAGGTAATTTTATAAAAAAAAAACAATATTATTGCGTTATAGCTTAAATCAACTTTATAACGCAAAAAACATTACGCACACATATTAACACAGCTGTTTTGTGTCAGTTAAATCAGTTGAATGTTGAAATTCAAAATTTTACCCCATCTGCTTGAGTTATTAAACAAAAAAACAAATAAAGGTTAAAAATAACCCAACAAAGCACCAAATATTTAACTCAACTGGTTGAGTTATTAATAAATAAACTAATAAAGTTTCAAAATAACCCAACAAAGCACAAAATATGTTTAACTCAACCATTGGGTTAAATAAATAACTTAACATTTTTTAGAGTAACTATTCTGCTAAATACTAAACTGTATTACTTAACATATATCTAAAACACACACCAATGGGTTTTTCAAAAGCCATGATATAATTTTGAATTAATATCAGACCCTGTAATCCAATCTTACATATGATTTGGTTTAAAACTGACTTTTTTGTTATTTAAAACTTTGAACTGATTGGGATCTATTTTATCCAAAAAAAAAAAAAAAAAAAAAAAAAAAAAAAAAAAAAAAAAAAAAAAAAAAAAACAGGCTTATCCTTATTCCTTCACAATCAGTTGTGAGTTTTGAACCAAATAAAATAAAGTCTTATTTTTTAAGTAAATCATCACAAATTTAATGGTTATGATATAAATTCCTTCATATCTGAATCCTATAAAGGATGTCACATCTAATGAGATATGGGATACAACAACAACAAAACGATATCAAAGCAGTATTGTATTAGAACACACTAAAAAATGTAAAATGTTTGTTGATTGCAGTGTTTCTGCTTTTTACA